CAGTTTTTAGGGTAAGGATTTTAGAAAAAAGTATCGTCTTATAGTTGGAAAAATACGGTAGCTTTGTTTTAATTAAAATAAATGGGCATTGCTGCTGGGGGAGCATCAAGGCAATCCAGATCCTTATCAGCTTGAGAGCAAGTCTGGTTTTCTGCAAAAGCCATTCTCCACACTGCTTCAGCAGGCAGGGGAACTTGCCTTCTGAAACAGATAAGGTTTTCTATCAGCCTAAGACTAGCTGATGCATAACTCCTACTGTCCTAGCACTGGCCATTATGGAGAGCTTGTACTATTTGTTTTTCTATTTTTTTTCCTTTATGTATTATGATTAAAGATGTGAGGTAGTTTATGTTGCAAGATGACTTAAATGTTTAGACAGAAAAGACACACACAGACACGCACACAAATGGGAAAGAAATAGCCACTCACCTCATCAATACTTTTGTTCATTCAAAATTTAAACTTAAATTCAAAGATTTTCACAATTTCGTTTTGTAAGAACTGTTTTGAAATGGATTCAAACTTATAGTTACATTCAGACATTAAAGCCTGCCCTGCTTCAGCCCTCTGGAACTGTAACTTATTTTCAGAGTAGATGTTCACTATTTCAATGTACATTTAGTGTGTCCTTTGCTTTATTTGTAACTCATTTGCAGGAAGAATAGAGACTTCAAAATTCAGTAATGCAATGGATCACAGCATATTTTTGGAGCCAGCAATGGCAGCATGGTATGTAGAGGACTTCAAAACGGCCACCTATTCATCCTTAGCCTTTGTGATAGGTCACAAACCTACTTCCAGGTGACAGGAGAGGAGTCTGCATCATTATTCCCTTTCAATAATGGTGTTTTTAGCAGCTCCATGGTAGGTAGGAATAGCCTTTCCAAAAAAGAAAAGTCCTAGTTCAGCCTTCTTTTACTTTTCCATAAAAGACTGACTAATGGAAAAGCATGGATTATTACCCTTAAATGTGAAAAAAAAATTTTTTCAATCAACACTTATGAATGTACACACAAACATATACATGCACATATATCACTAAATTCTGAATTATTAGCCAGAAAAATTGAATTTTATGCTATAAAATTGTTTAATGAATACATGCATGCCTGATACAATTATCAATAAATTTACTGAATTCAAATTTACCATTGTAAACATTTTACAAAAAGCATTGCAATTTATCTGGATACAGTCATTGATGGAAAAATTACTCAAAATGATAAATGGCACATTAAAAAAAAATAAAGGTGACAAAACCCAGTCTGCATCTTCTTTCAGCACAACTCTGAACAAGCAAAATAGAATGGTATAAAAATTGTACAGCAAAGATTTCCTCTCAAACTCTGGAAGCTGTAAGTACAAAGTGGTTGAACAATTGTAATATGGTTACAGTAACCAGGTGAATTACAGTAAAAGGTGTTCTATCCAGTTATACTTTGCTGTTAAACAACTTATTGGCAGTTGACTATAAGTATGTTTTCTGAAAGACAGCTAGACTTTGGCAACTGGAGGTTTGAAATAACATTAAAGTTCAAAGAGACAGTCACAGCATTTTCTTTGTGGAAGGTGATTTGTACACCAAGGCTCAGAGGTTCTGAAAATTGGTTCCAAAAGTGCAAGTGTCCTGCACAGATAGCTTAAAGCTGCTGGTACAGTCAGTCACCAACAGGTTTGTTGTTTTTTGCATAGTTCACACATCACTGGAAACGTGAAACGTGTGCTATTTTTGGCAAGAGCAAGAGGAAGTGATATTGGTGAAAGTTGTCATATTGGTCATGCTACCTCATGCAGAAAGCTGCTACCTAATGTTGTTAGACACTGAATACTGATTCTGCTTTTGTTGAAGCAGTTCTGTAATTGCCAGCAACTTCTTTAGCACATGCTGTTAAAAAAAAAAGGTAAATGAATAAATTTACTAAATTATCCATCGTCTTCCTTGAAGTTCTAAAGGCTAAAAGAAGTGATGTATTCTTTAAATCTCCTTAGAATACTTTTGGATTTTGAGCAAGGAAATGACAATCTAAAACTCTTCTAGCTTGGCTACGTACATCAAAATAACGTGCCCCACAGCTTTAACATATTTAAAGAAAGCAAGTGATAATATGCAATGAGTATAAAAATGTAATGATACGTCTTGCAACATCATATGTAATCACAGATATAACTGAAATACAGAACTGCATTTGAAACACAGATGATAAAATCAAGACAGACACTCTACTAACAAAAAGCTCTACTAACAAGAGCCCCTCTACTAACAGATGTGAGTTGCATTTGATGATGCTTTGCTAATTCCACCTATTCAACAGTCCATAAGTGTCACCTCTCAAAGCTGCTCAAGAGTCTCAAAAGCCAGAACAGACTTTCAGAGGGGCAGGAAAAAGAAACTTGGTGAGGTTTGCTTCCTCCCAATTTCACCCATAAAAGCTTATAGATAGTAGAATTCCACCCTAGGTGAGCAGGAATTCATTCCACTGACTACAATGTGGTTTTCAGTGAACTGTTTTACTGATGTTTTTACACGTCTGTATTTCTGTTTGCATCTTCAGTTTATATATTCATTTCATATGCATTCAACTATGTTTCTTTAACTTGCACAATAGATAAACTTATGTATGATACAGCTATCCTTTTTGGAATCTTAAATAGTTTAGAAGAAATATCAAGTCTATATGAATTCTATGTGAATCTTAAAAATTCCTGATTGAAGATTCCAAAAAGGATAGCTGTATCATGCATAATTTGGCTATAACACAATTTCAATAAAAATAGTTATGAAAACATCAAGTTTGCTAATTATCACACTGCTTTGGTATTTGGCACATAGAAAAGCAAAAGGCAAGACCAATGAATAATAGTATTTAAAAGGCCAACCAAAGCAAATTTTCTAAGTTCCAAAAATTTCTGCTCTACAGACCCTCAAGAAGGGTCTCAGAAGCCAGGAATTCTCATTTCAGAGATCCACAAGTAGAATTTTATTCTGTTATACTTCAGCTTTATGCTTTGAGGTTTTGATATATTTACATTCAGTAATGTACTAAGGTCTCTAAATGAAGGCTATAAAAAACATAGAGATTGTCATATAAACTTTTTCCCAAAATTACATAAGCAAATTTCAAATATGTGAAGTTGTAATGGAAAAAAGGAATAACCTTGAGGAACAGGAGGAAAAGCCACAACCAAGACAACAGGCAGATGAAAAAAACCTGAGTCCAGGACAGAACTGTAACCTGAGAAAATGTCTCAGATAGGAGCCTCCCCTAGCTCTCAGGAAGATAAAGGGAGGGAGGGAGAAACACATTCAGACTTGCAAAATTCTGTCACCATAACCTTATAATAAAAGTAATATTTGCCTGAATGATTTTGGTCTGGTCTACGTTGAAGGCTGACAAGTCGATACTTCACATATTTCAGTGCCAGCCTATGTTTGGTACCAACTCTTACCTGCATTGCCCCTCGCTCATTACTGAGTGTTCGAAGTTCATCTGAATGTGCCACACAGATCTCATGGAGGGCTGCTAGATCACGTGATAAGTCAGTTCTAGAGGGCTCTGTAGTGTCTGGAAGCTCAGGTACGTTCTTGAACAAAAATATAACAAAGCTTATCTTTCATAAAATAATACAAAAGTAATCATGCTTTTCTCACTTACTACCATATTTGTCCATATAGAAAATTACTACAGTCATTGTTGCTCTTTTCCTACATGCCACTTAAAGCTTAAATGGCATAATGAATGATTTTTTAAAATTGTGTAAGCATCACAGGAGTTAAAACTGTAACTTAACTTTAAGGTGCTACTTTGTTTTTGAATGATGCAGAGAGCTCAAGTAAGGACTGATATGCAATGCTGCATTTAGAAATCACATCATACTGGGCCTTGTGAAGTTTAATCTTCTATTTTTAATACCTATAGGCTGAACTATGATTCTACCCTACTTTAGTGAAAATAAGCATAGGAACAGATACACTGAATTAATATGCTCTGGAAGAAGATGATCCATACAAGAAAAATACATCCCATGAGCAAAGATTGTAATGGGAATATATAAATTAGGCAGGAATAAGAAGAGAGAGGACCTACTTAAAATAGAGAGAAAATATCATTTGAAGATAAAATAAGTCCATTAAAATTACTTTAACACACATAAAAACAAAGCCACATAAAGAAAAGCCACATAAATGAAAGGACAGATGATACTTTCGAGTATAAACAATACTCTCAAGTACATTTCTGGAACATAGAGAAATAAAAATTCCCATTCTTCAATAAAAAGATAATAGAGCATATGTTTACAAAACTTAAGAGTTGTGGTATAGATAAGTGTTCTTACCCCAAGTTCATCCAAAAACATGATCATCCTGTGTTTGTTACTCTTGATAAATGGATTTACACCTTCCATATAAGGCTCCTAAAATTAAATGATGAGTTGCTATCCTTATTCACCATACACTGTAAAGCATGCAATAGTTCTAGATTTTGATTTCTACATGAACTCCCAGAGCTGCTTAACTATCTCGTTAAAATATTTTAATATCCCTTTTCTATATTATTTAATGTAAATCACATCAAAAAATTCACATGGGAAAAGGCTAAGTTACAAAAGCTTTAGAAGAGTTTTGTGAGATCTGGGAAAGATCAAAAGGTTTCAGGATTGCGAGAATGGGGCACACGATTTGGAGAATGAGGTCTTCGGAAATACCGGGAGAACAGGGATCCTTCCATTCTCCAAATAGCGTGCCCATTCTCATGAAACCTGGGGTTTCCAAAGGATCATGAGAATGAGGTGTGCAATTTAGAGAAGGAATGGGTCGTGTGATTTGGAGAAGGAATTGTGTGAATGGCTTAGAGAACTGCGCAAGGGGCCTTGGGAAGAACGCCTTGCACCCCCAGCAGCTGCCTCACAGAGAGTAAGGTCAGGCCAAGCGTGCCTCGTCAGCTGTGGGAGGAAAAGGGCGAAGGTGAGCTGGGTGCAGCAAAGCCTGTGGAACGCAGGGCGGTGGGGCAACTGGGGCTTTGCACAATGGTGCTGTGGTGGCTGGCTGTAGTGTGGGGCTTGAGGTGGCATTTCTCAGTGGCAGTGGCAGCGCTGGGGCTGAAATAGAGGCCTGGGGCCAGTGGCAGCTGGCTGAGACTGGTAAAGGCCCCGGGCCTCTACTTCAGCCCCAGCCCCAGCCCCAGCACTGCCGCCAAGTGCCACTGTGCAGGGCGGCCAAAAGGGCATAGATGGGGAGGAGACAGGCAATGGGGAGGGGGGAGTTGAAGTGCCCCTGCAGTCATAAGCACTGCTGGGCTGGGCCAGCTGAGGCAAGATTTATGCTGTGATGGTGGGCTGGGCTGCGGCAGCTGAGGTTTTCAGGGGCAGCTGTGGCTTTGCACTGCATTGCACCACCCCCAACTCTCACGTGGCCTGGGCTGGAACTCCCAGGGCTTCCCCCACCCCGAGTAGCATCTCACACTCCTTACCTGGGAATCCCTCCAATGACTATGGTTCTTGGTTAATGATGTCAACCAGGAGTGCTGGGATTGTGGTCACTAAGCAATGAGGTTATGTGATGTCTCGTTTTATGACCACATTGCTTAGTGATGGAAATTCCAGTCCCAATTGCCATTGTAAGTCGAGGACTCTGTCGACTTGTACTTGTACTCTCTCACTGAGAGTATAATGCATAAATCATGTTTACCTTAGCTCCAAACTCAACGAGATTTGCCAAATTCTGCACAGACTTGGCGACCAGCGTCAGTGTTCTTGCTGCAGTTGGAGAAGGAGAATCTGTAATGAACAGTTTGAAAATTACAACTGATATTACGGTAAAGTATAGCAAGCCAACCTAAGCCAAAGTACTTCCTTTCTAAGCCAAGCTAAACCAACTAAGTTGTTCCTGATTCTAGTGGTTAACTGATAGCTCTTTGAAGGGGAAATCCACAAACCATAGTACTTCCTTTCCTAAGAGACTGATAATATGACAATAGAAATCTTAAGGATGGTAAATTTTGGCAGCGTCCCCTTTCCCTAAAATTTCTTTAAAGGAAAAAAAAACCCCACAAATGTCAAACTAATTGTTTATGTATACAACTGCGTATTTTTCATTCTTTTTCTAGTATCTAAGACCCATATCAAAACAATTCAAACTGAATTGTTGAGTAGCAGCATGAACTTACTATACTTAAAAAAATAAACTGCTGAAGGTAAAAGTCTTAGAGAAGTCTAGCAGTAATTTGAGGTATAACGATGAATCATGTGAGATGCACCAGATCCATATACCTTCATTCTCATTTTATTACTGACATTTCTAATAAGAATTATATAAAAAAAAACAGTTAACCCTATTTAACCAAGCAACAGAATTTAAATTTTCAGCACTGTATCAGGAGCTAAATGTTGTCCTAATGCTAAATATGAGTTTATTACCAACTAATGCACTCACCTGAGATGATATTAAACATCCTTGGATTTAGAATGGCAGGGCAGATCAGCCGAAGGAAAACAAAGCCACTGAAATTAGAAAGTTTAATTTTAAATTTAATTTTCTAATTAGCTGTAAGTATTGAAAGGATATTTAAAAATTATTCTTTCAATACCTAATACCTTGTAAAAGGTTTTGCCAACCTTCCTTACCACTTGGCAAAATGATAGAAAAGGTTTTTAAACTTTTTTCAAGATAAAGTAATAGCCTATATCACCTTGTCAATGTAAAGTTTTATCAGTATCAATAAAATTATATAATATATAGGCATCCAGGCAGTCATTTCATATGTGTACTGTAGCAATTTGCTGTTTAACAAGTAGTTAAGATTCACATCCAGATTTTCAACAGATAAGAAACAAATAGACAAGATCTGAGGTTTTAGTCTCTCTCATAGTTTTCTGATGAGGTCCTGTTCCATAAGTCATATTATATTATAGAAAAGATAGATGAACCTCCACCAGTAATAGGGCTTTTCTTCTGCAGCCTTGTTACAGGAAATTCATGCTACATCTCCTCTTTTCCCCTTAAAACACTTACAAAGGCAAATTTCCTAGTTGGAATGTGGGAACTACTTTCCTAGATATCCAACTAGTATTTTTTGCTCAGCTTTTAATAGTACTTTTCCTGCCTATTTAATGTTTCATCTAAATATTTTACATTGTGTTATTTATAAAAATAATTTTTTTGTGACTATGAAAGCTGAAGTTAGCGGATTTTTCAATGTTTTAAAGCAATGTATCTTTTCAAAGATATTTGAAAAATCAGACATGAAGCTGAACTTCTCAGATATAGCATATAACAAAGCAAACATAGCAAAAATTAAAAAAAAAAATCTTACCTAACCACTCTTGTCCTCATGGTTGTGTTGGCTGGCCACTTGCTCTGAACAGATTTTTGTAAACAACCATAAATATACCTCAGTGTCCTATCAAAATAATAACAATTAGGATAATAAAACATTATAAGTTTTACTATAGCAAGGAAAACATCTCTAATTCCAAAATTATAGATGACTGATATCCCAGATATTTCATATTCTAACTATAAGATAATAGTAGTATTAGAAAAAAATGTTTTATGAAACATCAGGAAAGTTCAATTAAATAAAATATCACATCTGACTCAATAAATATTTCAATAAATAAATTTATTTATCTCTTCAGAAATTCTACTTTTAGGAATCAGCCCATTAACTGAAATATATAGTATTTCTAAACAAATGTAAGAGCTTTCTAACTGTTCATTCAAGTTTATAGTAGAGATTTAAAAGTGGATTCAGACTGAATAACAGTTTCAGTTCAATTTGTCATAATCAAGATGTAGGTGAAACTCAGGAAATTTTTTTTTTCAATGTTACTGAGGTTTTACTATACATACTCTTATGCACAAACACACTATGCTAGTGAACAGAATCTAAGAACTTGGCCAAGGAATAACTTTTAGAAAGAACTGTATCAGAACAAAAGATGAATAGAGTGAGTTCTAATAATGTGAAATTGAAACAACCAAACTGAAACAGATTTTCTAAAAAATATTGATGAACTTACGGAGGTAGTATTTCTGCAGCCATGAATATTTTTTCCACTAGCTCTGAAAGGATACTTAATAGATGTGTTAAGTTAGTATTTACGTCTTCATTTTTTTCTAATTTTGAAGGATTCAGCTGAAATACAGGACCAGAAATTGAACATTAATTCTTATTCAGAATAAAATCAGTGTAATGTGTTTAGTACATACGAGCTTGTTCAAGATTAGAACTGCTGAAGTACACAGAAATCTTAAATTCAATAATAAGCATGTGGGTTGTAAGACCCTAAAAACTTGGTTTTGTGAATGGTCCTACAGCCTGAGATGTGTGATAGAGATCATCTCTTGGTTTTGGTGATGGTTATTTTATGATGCTTGGCTGCAATGTGTTTTTACTTTATATTATATATTTTATTTATATATTTTATTGTAAGCTGCCCAGAGTCATGTATGTGAGATGGGTGGCTATATAAATCAAATAAATAAATAAATAAATAAATAAATAAAAAAATAAAAAAAATGATGTTTGGAGCCTAGAGGCCATATTTACTTTATTGCCTACATATATCATTAAATGCAAAGCTCAATTTCAGTTAGAGGTAGCAAAAATAAAGTTGCATTTTTTTTCCCATCCAAGTTCATAGAATCCCTGAAATCTATGCAAGGATTCTCAAGGGATCTGTGGACCCAAGGTTAAGAACTGCTGCTCTAAACTATCAATAATACAGTGGAATAATATTGGAAATAGAAAGCTGACAATGATACAAAATCATATTGACAACTCAGTTAAAAGCCTAAATGATATAACAGAAAGGGAATTAATTTTGTAAGGATAAATCTCAGTTTGAAGCCATTTTAGCCATAAAACCTCCTACAAAAACACTTGGCTTAGCTACTGTCTTCATCCCAATCAGAGGCTTATGGTGTCTAAGACTGCTCTACATGAAATAAATGTGCATTAAAAAAGAAGTGTTCCCAAAGAAACTGCATGTAGGTAGTAATATTAAATGAAGCTTCTTACCTCACAAGATTGTTTACTCTCCATTATCTTTAAAATAGAGTCCTTTAGAGCATGATGCACGAACCGTGTAGCTGTAGCTTTCATATACTGCTCCATAAGTGTACTTGCCAGTGTGGTGGCACGGAATAAGGTAGTGGCTTCATCTAAACAAAAATATGTGTTCATATACTGGATTCAAATATTACATTTGGCATTTTTTTTAAAATCTGAGGGAGGTTAATGGTGCAAAAGTCATTCTAAAGGAAAGGACTGGGTATCCTGGGAATAGAGAAGAGGAATGTCATAGAAAATTACTTTCAGGAATCAAGATTAAAGATTTACAACGTACCTTCCATGCATATTTCTCTGTCATTTAGAGTTCGCAATAATAAAGCTTCCAGTTTTTCATGGAGAAAAATTTTCAGTAAAATGCTAGCCAGCAATGTTCGATCTTGTCCACACACATGGGATAAGGCATAGACCACATGCAACTCTTTTTGCAGTACCAACTGGAAAAAAAAAAGGTAGATGCTTTAAAAGTTTAGTATAAAACCAAAATGTCATTGTTTTCTTTAAAAAAAAAAGAAAGAAAAAAATGAACAAGCAAAAGCAAACAATAGTTGATGCAGAAATATAATATCAGTAAGTGGAAAGGAGCTACTGAAGTTCTACAGTTAGTGCTCAGTATATCGTTGATGGAAAGTTAATCATAAAGGCAAAATTATTTTTGACAGTAAGGAAAACTATTTTAAAGGTGTTTTTGTGACTCTGAGCTGAGTACCATAGTTTCCACTATTTTGTTTTTTAAAGAAGAGGGGGGAAGAGGAGGAGAAGGAAGAGGAGGAGGAGGAGGAGGAGGAAACATTTTAAAACATTGTAGATAAATAGTTTCTAACTTCCCCTTTGTAGTACTCCAACTGATATACAGTATTTCTATACGTTTACAATTTTCATGTATTTCTGATTTTAGTTTTTGGTCAATTTTTTCCCCTTAAAAACCATACTCTAAATACTTACATTTCCCTTGCCTTGTATTACACAATATATATGAAAGCCATTTTTGTTCAAATTTGGTCAAATTTCTGTTATGAATATATGCTGTTGATTCCGCCATTACTGCATATTCTCGAAGTTAAAATTTCCAGTCTAATATCATCGGTAACATATCTCATAGCATAGCGTAGTGCTCAGTTTATCCTTGAGGCTGTGAACATGTACCTTTGTAAATTGTGGTATTTTTTATTAGTATGTGTGACACCTAGTTTTACACCTAGTTGAAAAAAAATGTTTTATTTCAGAGTTGAGTTCTGAAATTCTCTGAATAGTGCTATATATTTCTTAACACTACTTCTGAGGTTTTTTACATGTCTACCACATAGGGTAAAATGTTCCTTCTGTCTCATGGCATTTCCAGCATTTATTACAATATGATTTGTCTATCTTGGCAATTATTGATGGAGTTGTATACCATCAGTTTTATATCAGTTTTCTCTTAAGTTACAGCTTGGGGTAAATTTTATAGATTAGTTCCATAGTTCTTCCTATTGTTGTCTGGTGACTGTTTCTTTTAAGCTTTGCATCCAGGTTATCATACAATTTTAATCTGTTCTGTCTCTATATCATATCTAAGTGGCACTTTATATATATACCCAAATAGGTGGTCTTGATTCTATATAAGCACTTCAAATTCTGTCATTTTTCTTAGAAGTCTTCCCTAATTTTTGAGGTCAGTTTTTATTCTTCCAACAATTTATAGGGACATAAACCATGGTTATGTTTGAGCCTTCAACAAGTAATTCTTGTTGTATCTTTAATCTATTCATGGAATCTGAGTGGACCATATCTGCATATATACTTGCATTTTTCTTACTCTAGTTATTTCCAGCATAAAAAGCATTTAAACAAAAGGCTAGCAGTGAAATGGTTGAACTTACTATGTTTCTCATAACGTTCCAAGCTTTGTCTTATAATATGTCCTTTTAAATTTTTGTTCTCTTTCATGTCCCTCTTCCATATATATTTATGAAGTTCATGAGCTAGGCTCCTTCCAGTAATGACATTCTACTGTTTGGGGATCTTATCCATTCTGTTAGCCATCATAGACAGCTTGTTCTATAATATAGCTGAGTTTGGAAGAGCAAGACCACTTCTATCTTTTAAGTCTTGTAAAACTGTCACTGTTTTCTGAAATATTTCAGTATAGAGCTTAAACAAATCTGAGTACCTTCTGTGCAAATTGAGAGCTACACAAAAACAAAAACACTTTGAAAGACCAAAAAACTTTAGCTTTCTTATATTGACAAGAAACTCTTTAAAATGTTTTTCAAAATGCCATTGTAATTATAGTAATTCAATACCTCTTTAAATTCACTGTATTCTTCTTCAGGCATTATTTTCTCCATAGAATATCGTGCTCGGACACGCAAAGAGCCTGGTTCAATACCTTTCAGAGGTACATGTGAACTGAGCTGAAACCATTCATCTGTTGCCTGTCCTTTCTGGAGTCGGTTCAACTGGCATCGCATAAATACTTGAAATAAAATAGTTCAGGTTATAGTTAGCTTTCTGCAATTCTGTTATAATTATCTGACTTTTTAGAAGGTGCAGTCCCTGGCCAACCTTATTTGGGCTAGAAGGTTAAGCAGGTCAAGCCCAGTTAGGACCTGGATGGACCAGGAAATCACACTGGTATACTGAAATTTATCTCCTCCTACATCAGCTTCAAAACGTATATCTGTATCATTACATCTGTTTCATTTTTCCAAGAGTTTCTGAAATGTTTTAGGTGGTGGATATTTTATATTTGTACTGTTTTGAAAAGATAGTTATATCAATTTGAATAAAATAGGACCTATTTTGTTTCACTACAATGTTTAACTTATGAGTTATCCTTTTTCCATAAAGGCTAAGGGACAGACTCTGCTGTGTTACTCCCTTTTCATTTACTTCCAAGTGCAGAGCTGTAAGTTGTCTTGCTGATGTTAATAAAAAAGAATTACGTTTGCTCCATAAATTTTTATTCTTCATACTAAAAATATTTAAAGGACCTATTTGTGTTTGCTTGATAAACTATCATTATTGATAAATTATTAATACCAAACTTATTTCTATAAAGATTTATAACCAGTGTTTGTATGTTGCAATACTGCAAACGTGGAAGAATATTCCTTTTGCTTTACAAACTCTCCAACACAAAACTGAATAACCAAGTGTTTTATGAGACAGTACAATTGGGTAAGTAACACTAATGAAATTGAGGTTTCCATCCCCCAAGTTCTGTCCTCATGTTAGTTCCCAAATTTATTCCCCATCTTTATCTTCTTCAAAGTAGAGTACCAATTATATAATTTTGCTGTATTATCCTTCTGTACAGTTAAATGAGAGTTTGCTCAAAAAGTGTTAAGGATGGAACAGTACAACTTCATGGTAGTGTTTAAAAAAAAGAATTCAACTGTGTCCATTGCAGTCAATATACATTTTATTTTAATTGGGTTTATACTGCTATTTTTGATTTTGGGATAGAATCTATATACCAATCTTTTAATTTTCCTTCTTTCTTTGCCAGTGTTGAGGCAATTTAACCTTATATCCTTATAAAATAAGGAATGAGCTAGCAGTAGGATCAAGTGGGCTCTCTAGCTTGTTTAGAAATGCACTGAAATAATTATTTTATATTCTCAAATGTAGCATCAAGAAGATGGTTACATTATTTCATTTCTCTATTTCTTAGAATGTATTTGCTTTCATTAGATAAAATAAATTCAACATAATTGTGTGGAATCAAACTGCTGGAAAACCTAAAATGCCACTGAACATTGGATCAAATATTTTGTTGTGTTCTTGGATCTTTAATAGTGCTGCATAAAAAGACTATGCTCTGTAGTAACCTCAGACCATGCAAATACCATTTTATCATTTTAAACATGTAATGTGTATGTATGTATGTATGTGTATATATTTAATACAACAATAAATAAGAGTCTGGCATGTTCCCAGAAATGTCCTTCTTAATTAATAAGGTACTATGTCTGAAGAAACCACAAAATAGAAAATTCATTAAAAATGTATCTTTTAATGAAGTTTAATTATACAGCTTTACTGTATAATTTTCCCAACAACAACAACAATAATAATAAATGCTTCTGCTGCTATTACTACCACAATCATATTTATGTGAAAGGTGAACATCAGCCACACACCCCCAATAGGTTTTTCTTAACCTTGAAATGAAACCTAAGTGTCATTTCAAATTCACATATATTCCTCTGCTCTTTTGATTATTGTCAGCCCTTCAAGGCATACCAGACTAGGACAGCAGTTACGAATGCCAATGCAAGTCTAAATGAGATTTCGCCCCCCCCCCTTTATCTTCATGACAACTAGGGAGGGTCACGTCTGAGATGCTTACTCAGATTACATTTCTGCCCCAGATCAGATTTCTTTTATCCAGTTGTTGCCTTGGTAGCGGCCCTTCCTCCTGGTCCTCAAGGTGATTCCTACTGCTCAGTAGTTACTGCCAGAGTAGAGCTCCCCAAAGAATCCCTACTGATCACAGTAGCTGGATGCTGAATCAATGGGATGGCCCTTACCCAAAAGGAAAAGGGCTGCTAGATGACAACCAGTCAATGCAGTAAGACAGAAGAAATCATAGTATCCATCTGGACCAGCTCCGGGAGTTGGGGGTGGGTGGCAAAGTGTTGTGCTGGCTCTATTCCTTCCTCTGGGGCTGGTTCCAGTTGGTGTTGATGGGGGGAGAGGTCCAGTCCACAGTCCCTACTTTGTGGGGTGCAGGGCTCGGTCCTTTCTCCCCTCCTGTTAACATCAATATGAGGCCACTGGGTGAGGTCATCTGACAGTTTGGGGTGAGGTATCACCAATATGGTGATGATACCCAGCTTTATATCTCCACCCCTGACTGCCTGACTGATGCCGTGGATGTCCCGTCCCAGTGTTTGGAGGCTAGGGGGGCCTGGATGGGGTATAACAGGCTTTAGCTCAACCCAAGCAAGACTGAGGGGCTTTGGGTATTTGGACCTTCTGGTGCTGGGAACCTTCCATTGTTGGTCTTGGATGGGTTAGCACTGTTCAGACAAACCCGGTGCATAATCTGGGAGTCCTTCTGGACTTACAGTTCCTGATCATAGAGCAGGTGGCAGCTGGGGCTAGGAAAGCCTTTGTACACCTTTGGGTTTTGTGACTGGGGGCGCCCTGCTGTCATTCATGCCCCCATGCCCTCTCATCTGGACTACTGCAATAAGCTCTACATGGGGCTACCCTTGAAGAGTATTCAGAAGTTTCAACTGGTGCAGAATGCGGCTGCATTCCATGAGCTGCACTGGTTGCCAGCGTGCTTCCGGGTGCAATTCAAGGTGCTGGTTGTCACCTTTTAACCTCTTCATGGCTTAGGACTGGGTTACTTTAGGGACTATCTCTCCCCAGTTATATCTACCCATCCAATCCAGTCAGGAAATATGGGAATGCTTCAGGTCCCATTGGCCAAAGAATGCCAGTGGCAGAGCCCAGAAGACATGCCTTTTCTGCCGTAGTGCCCAGCTTGTGGAACCTTTTACTCTGGAGATCAGGATGACCTGGACCCTGCTGGCATTTTGTAAGGCCCTAAAAACCTAGTTCTGTATGCAGGCCTGGGGTCCTGAGGGAGTGCAGGGACCCACTTCTTGGTTATGCTACTGATTTGAGTTGATGTTGCTTGGCCGCTGTGTATTTTGACTTTTATAATGTTTGTAATTGTTTTTATTTTATTTTAACTCTGTTCGCCACCCAGAGTCACTTGCTGAGATGGGCAGCCATAGAAATCGGAAAATAAATAAATGCATAAATGCTTGTTTCTCTTTTCTCATCACCACAGAATAGGCCCAAAGTTGGGGACGTACCCATGCTCAGTTAAAGTCAATCTTTGTTGTCCTCCACCTGCATTCCCGGTATTGCCTCTGTTGCTTCATCTCCCAAAGCTCCTCAGGAACTAAGAAGCCAACTGGGATCAGCTAACCAACAGAAGCTGCCTGGGAACAACTTTGTCAAGGGCCTGAGATGCTACAGTGGGGCAAAAAAGTATTTAGTCAGCCACCAATTGTGCAAGTTCTCCCACTTAAAAAGATGAGAGAGGCCTGTAATTTTCTCACATTGTCTGATTTTTAAAGAATTTATTTGCAAATCATGGTGGAAAATAAGTATTTGGTCAATATCAAAAGTTATCAGTATAAAAGACACCTGTCCACAACCTCAAACAGTCACACTCCAAACTCCACTATGGCCAAGACCAAAGAGCTGTTGAAGGACACCAGAAACAAAATTGTAGACCTGCACCAGGCTGGGTTATCAGTATAAAAGACACCTGTCCACAACCTCAAACAGTCACACTCCAAACTCCACTATGGCCAAGACCAAAGAGCTGTTGAAGGACACCAGAAACAAAATTGTAGACCTGCACCAGGCTGGGTTATCAGTATAAAAGACACCTGTCCACAACCTCAAACAGTCACACTCCAAACTCCACTATGGCCAAGACCAAAGAGCTGTTGAAGGACACCAGAAACAAAATTGTAGACCTGCACCAGGCTGGGTTATCAGTATAAAAGACACCTGTCCACAACCTCAAACAGTCACACTCCAAACTCCACTATGGCCAAGACCAAAGAGCTGTTGAAGGACACCAGAAACAAAATTGTAGACCTGCACCAGGCTGGGTTATCAGTATAAAAGACACCTGTCCACAACCTCAAACAGTCACACTCCAAACTCCACTATGGCCAAGACCAAAGAGCTGTTGAAGGACACCAGAAACAAAATTGTAGACCTGCACCAGGCTGGGTTATCAGTATAAAAGACACCTGTCCACAACCTCAAACAGTCACACTCCAAACTCCACTATGGCCAAGACCAAAGAGCTGTTGAAGGACACCAGAAACAAAATTGTAGACCTGCACCAGGCTGGGTTATCAGTATAAAAGACACCTGTCCACAACCTCAAACAGTCACACTCCAAACTCCACTATGGCCAAGACCAAAGAGCTGTTGAAGGACACCAGAAACAAAATTGTAGACCTGCACCAGGCTGGGCTTATTTTCCACCATGATTTGCAAATAAATTCTTTAAAAATCAGACAATGTGATAAAATTACAGGCCTCTCTCATCTTTTTAAGTGGGAGAACTTGCACAATTGGTGGCTGACTAAATACTTTTTTGCCCCACTGTACCTCATACCAGCAGAAAACTAGGCCCTCAGCTGACCTGTCTGTAGGATTGTTGAAGAACACCCCAAGGGCCTGTTGGAAACCAGATGGATATATAAGGCTTTTAGAGTAGACCATTTGAAATGAGTATATATAATGGCCACCACCCTCTCTTGTTTTCAAACTGTGTCTATGAATCTTGTAAGTGGATTGTGAAATTGCAACTGAGAGAAATGAATACAAACGGTAAAGAACCAACAACTTAATGAGAATTTACAATGGATTATGTGCTAAGAATGATACTGTAGGAAGGGGGGAAAAATCAGCTCTAAGTAGGGTGAAAGTAGAAGCTTTTTTATTTAACTTGGGGCAAGAGTCATCTTCCTTTTTGATAAATGCAGTATTTTTGAAATAATCTTTTTTTTTTTAAATCAAACAACTTACATATATCTGGATCTTTACTCTTCTTTGTTTTGTTACTAAGACTTATTTCAAACCTGTTGATATCAGAAGAAAGATCACTGGGGGAAAAAAAAAGAAAAATCTGATTCATATTTGTATTCCACCTTCACAATGAACATTAAAACACCAGAAAGTTGTTGGCATTTTCCTTATAATATTATCAGTTAAGAAATGAAAGGAAGCTACACGCTATAAAACTATATTATTTCCAATTCCATTTCAAAACATTTGTTTTAAAAATCTATTCAGTTTGTTGGCAAAAAGAAACATATAATAGAATTTGCATGAAACTTACTCAAACACAAACTCCTCTGACCACACAGGGTTCTGACCTTCTCGTACATGGGTTTTTGCTACCTGTACACAGTTCAGGTATATATTACAGTAAGGATTAGTAAAATGCTTTGCTGGAAGTGTATGGGCTTCTTCAACATGCAGTATAAGACTGCTGACCTAGAAAAATTGCAACATTTTAAAATTTATTTTGCATAAATTACAATATAAAAAAACTGTACATAAACTATAATTACATTTACTGATATATCAAATAAATATATATCTTGCAATGCCACATTAATAAATTGAGCATAAATGGATTTAATTTGAATGCTACTGCATATCCTTTTATCTCTATCCAATGTTTGTAAAGAAAGCAGAAAAATGTCTGGATAGTATTTAAACACTAATAAACTAAGAATACAATGCAAAATTATGACTGGTGTTTTCCAACTATGGGTTTGTGCCTGCATAGAGCAAATTCTGGAAAATTGTTGAATGATATTACTGCCCCAAAGGTATATGAATAAAGACAAATAGAACCCAGAACAACAATAAAAGGGTAAATATTTAGTTATTGAAAGGAATGGGGTGAGGGAAAGCCCCTATATGCAAAATAAATTTAAAAACCACCAAGCTCCTTGGAATGTGACAATTTTCTACAAAATGTCTTACACTGCTACTAATACAGGAACCAGTAGAAAGCTGAAGAGGAAGATCACCATGCTACTTCTTGAGGCATAAAGAAATTTCCAAAGGTCTTTCATGGAATGTGGAAGGCATACAGACAGGCTTGGATCCTTATCCAAGCCTGTCTGTAATTCACAAGAGGTTGCTCTGTGCAGATACATCCTTTTGAGGGAATGCACAGCAATTCTGAAAGAGAGTTACTATAAAATCCCACTGTTTTTATGATTAAAAGAATTTATAGTAACTAATTATATCATGTATAGAATTGGGAGAAAGAGCATAACATGTAAATGCTAGTTGTTCTACCACATATTAAGAGACAATCAGTACAATTTGCCATTTATTATTTATAATTATATTGTCAAGAATTTTTGGAAGAAAAAAGCAACCCAATAAAATATGTCTAATTACTACAATAATAATGCTTCCTGGGTTAGCTTCTCCAGTAAAAATGTCTCATTTATGCTAAGCAACTACCTTTTACAGGAAAATATACTTAGTCCTCAGATTATACTTTATACATACATATATAGGATGACATCCCACATAATGATGTCCTACTATAATCAGAGACACAAAACACACAGACACGACATCCCACATTACCACAAATATATGCTGATCCTCAGCCATGGTTATAGAGCAAGACATAAATTTTCCAACTAGAATTTGCTTTCTAGATTTGAATTGATTCGGTTTCAATTTTAAGTCTAGGTCTTTGACAAATACAGGTAGTCCTTACTTAATGACTACTCGTTCAGTGACCATTCGAAGTTATGATGGCACTGAATGAGAAGACTTAGAACTGTCCTCGTAGAAGTGGCCATTGCAGCATTCCCGTCGTCACGTGATCATGATTTGGGCAATTGGTAATCGGCTCGTTATTATGATGGTCACGGCATCCCACGTTCATGTGATCACCATTTTTGATCTTCACTGCCAGCTTCCGACAAGCAAAGTCAATGGGGAAGGTAGCAGGAGATTGCAAATGGTGACCACGTCGCACTTTATGACCGTGTCACTTAACAATGGAGTTCCCGCTCCCAATTACCATTGTTAATTGAGGACTATCTGTGACAGTTAAAAGCATCTATCTGCTTTCTAAAGAATCAGCAAATTTCAGTGGACAAAGATTTTCAGTGGAAATGGATATATAAGGAAAATGGCTTTATTTTTTTCTCTAGAAAAAAGTTTAAAGCCTTAATTCCCACTAAGATGGTAGTGACTCGGACTCTATGTACCATGAATAACTTAGTAATTAACAATGAAGGTTTTGTCTTTTAAAGTAAGATCAATCTAATTAGTGCAATGTTTTGTTAAATAATGAAATGAACTACAGTGGTACCTCGGGCTACGAACGCCTCTGCTTACGAACTTTTCGGGTTATGACCAGCTCTGGCCGCAAAAATTTACCTCGGTTTGCGAACTCCGCCTCGGGGTACGAACCGGATCTGCGGCCATTTTCTGCCCGTGCCACGTGGTCCGCGGCCGTTTTTCCGCCCTGCCGCGCGGTCCGCAGCCATTTTTCCGCCCTGCCGCGCAGTCCGCGGCCATTTTTCTGCTCTTGATGCGTGGTCCGCGGACGCCAGAACGGATTAACGGTAATTACATTGAACCTTATGGGAAAATTTGCTTCGGGTTGCGAACAAATCGGGTTGCGACCAGAGTCATGGAACGGATTAAATTCGTAACCCGAGGTACCACTGTATATCGCTGTCAGTTTACTACTTCTGTTTGTATTATAATATACATCATATTTAACTGTTGCTTCACGAAAAATGACAAGTAGCATCATAATTACTTATATAAAACAAATCGGGTTGCGACCAGAGTCATGGAACGGATTAAATTCGTAACCCGAGGTACCACTGTATATCGCTGTCAGTTTACTACTTCTGTTTGTATTATAATATACATCATATTTAAATGTTGCTTCAAGAAAAATGCCAAGTAGCATCATAATTACTTATATAACTGCTTTTTCTTAGAATTTGGTTAGTAGGTTAGTTTGTGACTTTCATATTGGCTTTGACTTCATTATTAAATATCAACGCAGTAATTGTGTGTATTAAAATTGTTAGCTCCATCTAATTTCATACTTTATTTTAATCTTTAAAATTGCTTAAAATACATTTAAAGAAGTCTCTCTGATTATTCTGAGAAAAAAATGTTACAACCTTCTTTACTTTATACAAGTAAAAGATTACTTTGACCAAGTACATTTCAATTTCAGCAAAAGTACATTACCTGACGCAGGCGCTTATTAGATGTTCCTGAACTTGTTTTTCGTAAATTGCAAAATGTTTGCAAAACTTTCATCCAGTCCTGCAAGTAAAAGTATCTCAGATCAACAATTTCCACCTATACAGTACAATCCTTTATATGTCCATAGATGGGTACAGGATTACAGACAAAATTGCACTTATGTTTAATCTTTTAACAAATATCTAAGTGTTTAGTTAAGTTTAATTTGTTATAACAGTTCTCTTTTTTATTTCTAATACAGAAAAATAGAGTTTTAATAATTAATCATTTAATTACAAGGAGGGAAAGTATGAAGGCAACTGAAGACACTTCTTTCTGACTGCTCTGTTTCTGTAAGTATCTGCTGTTGTTCACTCATAAACCGATTTCTTAAGTCATGACTACTGTACCCTTTCCCCTTTTTAATAAACTGCTTCTCTAAATGATGTCAATCTCATTACAAGGAAAAAGTCCTTTTTTGCGCACGCACACGTACACATACACATACACACTAAATTGAAAAAATTTATAAGTCACAAATCACTATTTCACGTGTATTATTACAATATAGTCTAATGATTCTTACCACAATACATTAAAAAATGTCATATATTGCTATCTTTAACCTTATTACTTCAATAAGTTTTTTGAAAACTTACCTGTGCTTGTTCTGGAGTTTCTCCTGCAAAGTAAAAGATGTAATGCTCTTCACTAAAGTGCTGAACTACTATCTGAAAACAGTTTGGCCTATTTAAAGGAAAAACAAACAAACAAACAAAAACAGAATTCTATTAACAGAATGCTGGTGCCACTCTTGGGACATGCAGTGCTTTTCACTCTCATATATGTTTACCATTATTACACTCTTGTTGCAATACATTATATACCCTCTTTATTTTCCCAATATACCTGTATTTTTAATGGATAATTCATATGCACAATCTCTTCTGAATGCACATTTAAGGATGTTGGCAAATTATGAACTATTAAACAAAATAAATCATTAAATGGCATGTTAAAGCATCTGTTAGTTTTAATGTTCTTACGCTTACTTGGCCCCTCTCCCACTAAAAAAGAACAAACATAAATAAAAAATGGGTCATTTTCCTTTCAGTAACACTTATTTTCTGGTCCTTGTAAGATTTAAAAATTAATGACATGTACAACTTTATCTTTATTTAGTTAACAACACTTAGCTTAACACAAAAAGTGTTGTTAACCAAATAAAAAGATAATGAGGCAAACATGTTTTCTGTCGCTCAAGAGCCAGAGTAAGTAGCCTTTTTGTTTTCAAGAGTTGTATACTTTATTGAAGTTAGAATATTGAAAATAGAAAAGAAAAACAAAATAAGATAATCTATCAATATTAATTACAATTTAGGATATCAGTGTAACAAGCATTAAAAATATTTAGCTTTTTCATTCAAAGGTGAACATAACTTTAAAAAAAAAACCCTGCAACTCGCATCAAAGAAGTATTGTTTACACATACACACACACACAATTAATGAAAGGAAAAAAATAGATGGAGTAAATGTAACAAGAATTAAAATACCAAAAAATAGAGAAAGAGAGGTTTCTAACTTCCCCCTTTTTGTACATCTGCTAGTTTGCAATATTTGTAGCCATTTAGGCCCCCTTAGAAGCTAAACTGTTTGCCATCCTGCGTAATATATTGTATGTAAGGCAACCATTCTTGCTTAAATTTAAACTTTTATTGTGTATATATACTATTAGTTTTTTTATACTAATAAATATACACAGAATATACATTGCTGTGTATTCTCTAACTTTAAGTTCCCAATCAGATATTGTCAGAGCTGTGTCTTTCTATTTGCCTCATTATCAATGAAACTATCCTTAAAACATTTCAAAATGGTGATTATCAAAAATGAATACAATATCTTACCTGCCAAACAGACTATCATGTACACCATAGACAGAACATACACTAAGATCTATCAATCCTTTGGGTTTAGTGGCTCGCTTTTCACTTTCAAAATAAATAAGTTGAGCATCATTTCCCTCTAAAATAAAGTACAAGTTCTTCCACCGCTTTCCTTTACCTGTAAACAAAAGGCAGGATAAAGGGACTTCCCTTCCATCAAATCCCTGACAATCTGACTTGTAAAATGTATCTTTGTCAATCCTACCCTCATTTGTTTAAGTTACCAAAAATAAATAAATAAATCTAAATCTAAATCTAAATCGGTCTTTAACAATTTAGGAATGTTACATAAAGTAAACATTTAGCCAATCTCAAATTTTGATTGATTACATGGAAGATCTTCCAGTGATTGGATATGAATCTCCTCTGTAAACTGCCCAGAGTCGCTTTTCAATAAGATGGGTGGTGATAAATTTGATATATATGTGTGTGTGTGTGTGTGTGTGTGTATATATGTATACACACAAAAATAAGAATTTATTATTTAATATCTTCCTAGCGCTTTTCCTATTTTTTATACTACAACTCTGATTTGTAAAGCTTCAAGTTCTATACATTTGTAAGCAGAAGAGTTATGCAATTACAGAAGAATATTAATATATAAATATAAGCTAAAAACACAGTAATATGCAGTTATAATCTATACACAGCATACAGACTGAGTATAAGCACATAGGATTACATTACATATTTACTAGGCAATATGTATGAACAATTACAAGATTCTGGTCATTGTCAGTGGAAGTACTTGCCAGAAGTGAAGCAAAACTTACTGAATTGCCAGATATTCACAGCCATTCTTAACCCAAAAACTGTGACTCATACTTACTTTTTTTCAGAAGGTATCCTTTTTTAACAATATTTTTATAGAATGCATCTTTAGTTTTTCGCCGAATTGTATTGTAAATTTCTTTTCCATCTACAACATCGTTAAGCACTTGCCCTTGATGCTAAGAGGAAAAAACATATGTTAATTTTCCAATCTGAAACACCAGAATTCTATCAAGCATACTATAGCCTACTGATTAGTTTATGAGGCTGCAAGACACTAAGTATGGTATCTTAAATTCCTGGTATAACTTCTGTCAGCAATTTCTATACCTCCTCCTCTCCTTCCCTCCCTGTATGCATTTTTAATCCATTTTCCCATGGATTAAATGAGAATGAGACCAAATTAACAACAGAATGAACAGTAAGAATCAGATGAAGAGTTTTTTTCTTAACGTTTTAGAAATGTTTTTCTTAATGTTTAGAAATGTTTTTCTTAACGTTTATAAATTTTAAAACAAATAGTTTTAAAATTTCACTTACTCTACTTTTATTATTTAGTTTTACAAGTAGGATCAGCAGCAAGCTGCTACCTTTCATACTCCCATTTGGAAGTCCAGCAATTCTTATTCCATTACCCTTCTCCTAACCATCTTTCCATTCCTTCCAATTATCATTAGGTGTTCTGTATCCACCTTGTGTTATCCACAGCTATCCACTGTGTGTTTCCCGGCCTATTTTGGTTGGTTTGCTTAATTTTGGTTTGTTGTCATTTCATAGTTCTGCAAACCAGGCGATCTCCTTGAGCTTTATTTTTTTTCCCATGTATAACAGTAAATATATTAATAAAGAGTGTGATGAGTAATGTTTTGCTTTTTATATTTGTTGTTAAGGATTTTATTATGAGTCACATTCTGATGCATGACAAGAAAACAACATGATGATAATAAAACAAACAAAGGATGGTCAAATAAAAATAAAGTTATACATGGTAAGTATTTAAGTGACCCACAAAATAGAATAAGTTTCTTGGATCAAAAAGCAATTTTTTCACTACTAACATTAACATCAATTATGACTCTCTCTAAAACTAAATAACAAGGCCAAATATACCTCCTCAAGAATAAATGATAAAAAATAATGACCTATCTATCCCTTATAGGCATTGTCTTTTTTTTTTTTCCTTGGCAAATACTGGAACCTGTAATTACAATTAAATTAAATTTTCATGTACTGACTCACCTGCATTGGAACAGGATCTTTAAGATAATAGCCTTCCACAATCTGTTCTTTTCTGTAGTGATCTATGATGTCTGCAATACTGTTAACAACAAAACAAAACAGGAGTCTCTGAAGAAATTAATACAATTTTATAAAATTGAAATAGAATCAAATCTGCAAAATGTTCAAATTTGCAGAACAATGTTGTATTTAACATTGTACCATATAGAGGTTGTGTCAGCTTCTGTTCACTTAGGGATTCACTGAAAGGTAAAATCTTTTGCATGCAACTTTATCTTTTTACAAGTTACAACTATATTTAATAACACATAATTAATGCAATTTATTTATAGGTATATGCATTTTTAGATTGAAAAGTAAACCACATTTTAAATTTTGCAAAAAAAAAAAATCTAGTGAATTTATGCATTTTAATGTATTCAATATTTAGTACCATACAAATAATACTGAAACTCTTTAATATGAAGCATAGTCTAAAATATAAGAAAAAAGTTATAAGCCACACAATATGAAAACAAATGGTTTGGGACCAAGTTATATACAGTCTTCACCTGTAGCAGCCTCTCTATACATTAAGATCAGGAACAGAAGCATGTCTCTTACTGTTCTCCTTTGAGAAGAGGTAAGTGGGCTCACACCAGGGACAGTATGCTTTCTACTGTATTCCCACTTCCCTATGGAACGGTTTTGTATCTGACATTATCTAGTTTCATCATTTTTAAAAGTACAGGTACTCAAGCATAGATACCATTTCTTTCTCCATTTTATTATCTGAGTATATTGCTTTGAAATGTCTGATTTTAGCAGGGGTTGAGGGATATTTTAAGTGCTGCTTTTATTAGCTGTTGGTTTATTATTTATCTATTCTTATTTTTATGAACTGCCTCGAGAGGGGTTTTCCTCTAAAATGGAAAACATAAATATTATATCCAATCTTAATTGTATTTACACTGGAAAGTTTGCAGTGTAATTATAATAGAGAGGCAGGGTAAAATTGCATTTGAAGGCCAATATTCGAACAGTTATGGAAAAAACCTTGCAGTCCAATCATTTACAAGTCTTTACATCATGCTTACTGAAATGCACTTGAATAAAATCATTGTGCACAGACAATATCAACACAGTATTCTTCTTCTTTTTGGCATTCTCAGTTATAATGTAAACATGCAATGACATCAGCACAAAAGAAAAACTGAATTTAAATATGCTAAGGACATAGCAATGGAGGCACATAAAACCAATGGTAAAATGTATGCCTTAAGTTACATTTTGAAAAGTGTACTGTTAATATACTTAAAGAATTCATTATATATCAAGTTTTACACCAAAAAACTGCTTTCCATATTTTTAGAGACTTAGCGCAATAAAACCAACACATCCACTATATGAAATCTGATATTTACCAAAATGCTCTCTTATATCTACAAGTGAAGAGGGCCAGGGAGAGGGAAATAGAATTTTTCTGCAGGGGCTGTTCTATATTTGAGGAGGTCATCTGTAAAATATTGTCTTATGCCCCTCTTCCCTATATCCTAGTGTTTTCCTCGGAGTGATAGCAGGCAGCTGCAAAGAAGTCTGACTGGAATTTTTTAAATATCAGGTTGACATAGTATTGTGGGGAATTAAGAAGCATACATCCAGCCAATTAGTCCTGCTAAAAATCGAAAGGCTAGGAAAAGAAAGACAGCGATCAGCAAAAGGCTCTGGGAGCTTCTAGATACCAACACCAGTTACTTTCCCTACTCTTCTCCTACCCACTCCCCACCAGCCTACAATAACTCCATTTTGGTCCGTGTTTTACATCACAAATGTACATTTCAGTTCAGGTTTGGGTTGTCAGAAAAAAAGCTGTTCTGTGCATGTAACAGTTTGTGAATGGAACATTTTGCATATCCCTTCCTTTTCCTAATGGAAATGCATAGTGCACAGTTTTTGCATTCAACAACCTGTCTGGAAACATAGCAATTAAAGCAATACACATTAATAAAACATTGAGACAAAATAATTAAATCTGGCAAAATACTGAATATTTTTAGGTTAAGACTCCTTTGAGCTGAATTTTTCTCCTGTTAACCACATAAGCATGTTTTTAGCAAAAATTGGAAGCAGTTGGTTTACTACTGCCCTTTTCTGATTTCTTAGTCTAGCCTATAAAGCCTAGATGTCCTGGCAGTCATTCAGGCGAGTGCTAACCAGGTCTGACTATTTAGCTTTTCAAGATCAGCAGAGACTGAGTAGGTGCTGTTACCTGATGTAGGCAGCACTGTGCAAACACAGCCAAACTTTAACAGAAATTTATCATCTGTACAGAGCAACTGAAAGAAGATATAATAAAGAATTACATAAGATATACTCAAAAGTGTGCTACTGCCAATTGACCTACTAAATTCTCATACTATATACTCCAGAACAATTATAATTGAGAGGCAGGGTAAAATTGCATTTGAAGGCCAATATTCAAAGAGTTATGGGAAAAAAATCTTGCAGTCCACATCATTTACAAGTCTGTATATCATGCTTACTGAAATGCACTTGAATAAAATCATTGTGCACAGACAATATCAATACAGCGTTTTTCTTCTTTTTGGCATTCTCAATTATAATATAAACTTGCAATGACATCAGTACAAAAGAAAAACTGAATTTAAATATGCTAAGTACATAAAACCAATGGTAGAATTTAGAGACCTTATCATGGATCCTTATCAGCAACTATACAGTTATAGTTTTAATAAAACATTTTCTCATCAAATATGTCAAATACTGTTATTATTTCAAATATTATTCAGTTTTTTATGCTAATAAAGATTTTATATAAGATTTTATGCTTATATTTTTATTAGACTGCCAATGAAGCTTAGATCTGTGAATGCTTAGATTGCGCAGGGAGGCCTTCAAGTTGCTCATACTGAACCTCCAAGAGGATCTACTGCTTTGATAATTTGAGTGCTGGATTCAGAAATACTACTTCACAAAGCATCCCTTATAGTTTTAACACTCAGACATATCAACTGTTTTGTATTTCTACAAAAAGTATTTTCATTTTGAAAGTTTCATAATGTTCTCTCTCTCTCTCATGCACACACGTATATGTAGAATCTGTCCAATAATGAAACCATAACTTGCAACAAGAAAAATTAAAAACCTTTTATGAATGAAACCTTACCGTGGACAATACCTGCAGTTTAAAGATATTCATTTTAATTAATAATATACACAGTAACCCGCCCCCCCCCAACCCATAGCTAATTAGCATGAGTGGGTCTTTTGGAGAAGTTGATGTAAAAATAATGGGTTGGATTCAGAGAAACTTGACTTATGTAATGGGCTTTTTCTATTCCTTTTGCAGCTTTCTATGTTTCTCAGGATCAGAGCAGGAAAAAGCATAGAGAGCTGCTGCAGTTGGAAACAGTTGGTGAGATCCAGCAGGATGCTGTACATAAGCATAAGTACATTTCCACTCACACAGTATACCATAGATTAAATCAGACTGCAGTTTCAGTATCTAAACAATGAAGATGGAAACACAAACTTAAGGTTGAACTATTGTAACAACCACTAAGAATAGGTGCATACCTATTACTTTGAAAAAAGTAGAATACTTTTTGAAAAAAGTAGAATATACAGTGTTCTACAGTATAATTCAAGATGGCTTCAGACGAGAATGTTTTCTAAAACATTTTAGTTTTCCTTCATTGTCAAGTTACACAAATCAGATCCTGTGGAAATGGGATTTTTATTGCTTAATTCAGGACTGTGGATTCCTGTTTCATACATGTCAAAGTTTTCAAATGGGAGGCTTCTACTGCCATACCCTTAAGAACTAGACAACTAGACAATGGGCAAAAGATAGTTTACCTTCAAAAAGGCTGACTCTGCTGCTAGCTCGATTTTCAATGAGGATGTCTGGAAGCCAGACAGATTTAATGAAGAAGATACTCAAGTAGCTTGTATGTGGGATATGCAAAAGGATCCAACTGTTTAGCCTCATAACATCTTCCACTTGAAGTTCTATGACAGTCCAATGACCTTCTCAGCTAGGAGAACTTGATACTTTCTCAGTCACACCAGCTGCAGGATTTCTAACCACTCAGAAGCCAAGCTGGAAGCGAGAGAAATTCTCGGTTGGGATGAATATCAATTCCCTGGTTCATGTTTGGCATATCCAAGTCCCATCATCTGGGTTAGGGCAAATCTTCTTTGGAAGGGAGAACTAAACTTAGCACTACTAAAAGTTATTCAAACACAGTCTAGATTAACATACTTTTAAGAACTTGAAAAATAAGAATGAAAGGCACTCAGTATCAGGGCAGTTTTATGTCCTAAATTTTCTCTCATGTGGAAATTAAGTTCAGTGTCTAGTGATGAAGCAATGACGCTTTTAAAAGAAACATAGCACAATCTGCTCTTATGCCCCAATCGCCAAGCCTTTTTATTTGTTAAGATCTGAGAATGGACAGATATTCTTACTCATTTTAATACATGTACACAATTTCAATTTTATCTATTATACACATTTTAAATTCTACATCTTTTGAATCATAAATGTTTTGGTACTTATAATACCCCCGTCCCCCCCCCCAAAAAACAAACCCCACAAAACCACCGAAACCCACCAAACAAACCCTGATAGAATACAATATATACCATTAATAGCAATTAATAGAATACATAAAACAAGCTGTAGAATATATTTGCAACATACCTGTTATAATATCTGCCCCCCATCATAAACTGATTGTTTGGTGTTGGGCATATTTTGAAACGCTGAATATTTTCACTGGTTCGAAAGTAGAGAGAGTAATCCCCAGGTGTGTTATCAGAAGGTCTCACAAGAAAACTTGATACTTGACCAACTAATTATAAAGGAGGAGGAAAAAAGTACAGGTCTACATCAATAAATCTAACAGCTTTATGGTATTTCATTAGTCTGGAATTTAGCGTGCAGCAGAGAAAAATTGTATCAGTTGCAAAAAGACTATTGTTGTTTTTTCTTAGGGTATTCTTATTCATTAAGCAACGATAAAGGAGCTGGTAATTCCTTTAAAAAAAAAAAAAAGTCAAGCCCATATGATGAATCTTGCTTTGTAAATAAATCCCTCTACATCCTGAAGTATTCTCTAATTCAAGAGCAGAACATTTGCTGAAAGAACATATTTTTATAGTAGACAATTTAAGCAAATACTACAATGAATAATTTTTAAATTTTAGCTTAGATATGAGAAACTGCAGTCCCAGAGCCATATGCACTCCCTCAATTGCTCCTTTGCAAACTATGCTGCAGTACCCATACTCCCTTCTGGCTACTCCAATGAATTTTAGTTCTAAAATTGTGGAAAACTGGCAATTTGTTTCCTTGTCATTTTGAAACACAAGAATAATGTATTACAAGCCCTAAAATAGGTTTAACAATTTTTTTTTAAAAAAAGGAAAATCATGCATACATTTAGGACTGTGCAGTGCTTTGGACTCAATTTCCAAAAAAAATTTGGCTCATGAGGAACTACACAAGTCTGTAGTTGTGTCATGTCCTGAGGTTGTGCCACTGCCTTTTCCAGTTTGTGGAGATCCCAGAAAAGGATACAACTGCTCTAAGGTGTTGCAGACAGATGTTACATTCTGACTTCCATGCTCCAACATTTGGAGATAGAGCCAAAGTATCATGTAGTCCTACCATACTTTTTATATTAACAGATATTCCATTAATTAAAATTCGCAAGTACCTGTCATCAGCAAACTATAAGCCTCTTGTTTTGAAATCTTTCCATGGAACCATCTTAAAGAATACAAAAAAACCCAGGAAATATTAGTAGCAAGTTCTTTGGTTTGCTTTAGAAAACATACATCTATAAATGACAGAAGAATGACCCTATTTTTGAGAGCAAAATGCATTTATAAAAACCCAAAAATGTAACATTAAAAAATACTCAGGTTCTTTTATATCAGTTGGATTAAATGTCAACAAGATCTGGCAAATAACAATTTTAAAACTGTTATTCTCTCCCAAATCAAATATAAATCAGCAACTCGGTCTATATCATGAAAAGACCATCTGGAAGTTGGTCCAGAATGTGGTGGGGAATGGTGGGAGCATCATGTTATGCCTACATGACCTCACTGTTGTGCAAACTGCACTGATTGCCAATTGGTTTCCGAGTGCAATTCAAGGTCCTTTTTATCACCTTTAAAACACTTCATAGTACAGAGCCTGGCTATCTGAGGGACTGCCTATCTCCAATTGTTTCTGCTTGTCCTGTACAATCAAAAAGAGTGGGTCTACTCTGGATCCCCTTGATTAAACAGTGTTATCTTGTGGAACCCAGGAAGCAGGCTTTATCTGTTGCAGCTCCCCCTAGAGATTCTTGCAATTCCCTCCATTTAGGAAACTGTTAAAAACCTGGTTGTTCTCCCAGACCTTTGGATGGGGTGGTTGGAGTGGCCCCTTTTTGCTACATTTATTTATGCTGAGTGGCCTGTGTATTGTTTTCCAGTCAGCTACGGTTCTTTTTTACTTGTATCTTGAAATGTTCTTTTTCTTTTTTATTTGTGAGTTGCCCAAAGTCATCAAGGAGTTGGGCGGCCTCTAAATATGGAAATTAAATTAAAATTAAATGTTCACAAAACATTTCAAGGTCAGCCTTATTTTCACTGTTGTTCCTTTATCCAGATGAATATACTTCGTTCCTTTCGTCCTATAACTTGTTGTTCAAGCATCTGAATTTCTCGATTGTACTAATTAATCCTCTCAGTGCTAAAATATTGTGACTAATTCTGAACAAAGCAATCCAGAAATGAGTTATCAGTCAAAATTGGAGAATAGGTTTTTTTCAAGAGTCCTAAAAAGTTTCTCACTGTGCACCTTAAAATAGCACTAATTCAGTGCTCAGTCTCAGTATCTTGCTTTATTTGTATTATATAACTATTAATAATTAGGATCAATATGCATCCAGGCATACAAGCTTTTTTTTCCTGGGATTATGCCTCTGGCATATAAAAAATCAAGAATCAGCATTCTAAGAGAACATATACTTAGATACTTATAATAATTTTATACTTACATTTTGCCTTCATGTGGATCTTCCTCTCTTCCCTTAGGAAAATATGATACAAAAAGTATGAAAACAAAATGATTTTAGTGACCCATGTTAAAGCATTCTGTTCTCTTTAGAAAAAAAATATAATTAGTGTAATTTTAAAACTTTAAACATTAGGTTGTTCTGAAATTAAGAGAATCTATCCATGTTTATTTAGAATTAAATGGTACTGTAGACAATAAAGCTTTCTGCAAGTAAAGTTTACAAAGGATTATAGTCTATGACACTTAAAAATATCTAAATATTTTTAGATCTGCCCCAGGAAATATACCTCACCTGAGATAATCTTGCCCTTATCTTCTGGAAACAATTATTGACTGAAAGTATAGCTTAAATTTGTAAGATTCATTAACAGTTTCTTACATATGTTGCCAATACTCCCGTGCTAGGGAACAACATTCAGTTGGCTATCTACAAAACTAAAATGAAAAATGTTCCATTTCACTATTTAAAAGATATTGCAATAGTCATCTGTGACTTCAAACTAGCCTTATGCATTTGTTCTTATCATGCAGGAAATTTAAAAGACAATTTTTTGGGGGAAATCTCTTTATACAGGCTTTCATTTTAATTATACTCCAAGTCCCACTGATGAGTATCCTTACTGGAGACTTTTTTTCCTTTCAAATTCAGTCACTTAGGACACACAAATCAATCCCAAATTTTCAGTATTTCTGTCCCTCACTGCTGCATTTCTGTCCTTCACTGCTGCTTCTTAACAAACATTTCAGAGGCAATCTAAAATATAATAATGTTTTTTTGCTACACTGCTATGCATTTTATATGCAGTGTCAATCCATGGATTATCATTGGGAATATGTTCTCTGCTAGCATACTTTCCCTTACCAGGCGCTTAGTTACCTGATTAGTAACAGTCACCTACTATATCTGAACCAGCAAAGTGTAGCTTCCACTTGCCCTTCAAATGATAATAAACAGTTTGCACAGCAAACAGAAACTTAGTTATTTACATGCATACAATCAAATAAACTAGGCAGAGTATGTGATGGAAAGAGATCATTCATGAACCCGTGGTTCGCTGTTACTACCTGAACAGACATATTAAGAAATCAAGATAAAATTGATAATATCCTCTCTCCATAAACAGGATTAATGAGCAATTACAAAAACAGCTGTAGTTGCCAGTACTCTAAATAGTCAGTTACTATTTTAGTGTATTTTATGAAAAGCAGAACATTTTTTCCCCAAATAACACACTTTTAAAATGGGGATCAGCTTGTTGAAAACCCTAGTAAAAGAGATAGATAAGGTCCATCAAAGTGTAAGTGGCAGCAGTAGCCAGGGGGTTCTCTGCACAACTCCAAGTATGCTTATTGCACCCATTCCTGGACCAGGGTGCTCTGCTCTGGTCACTCATGAGAAGCTGCAACTGGTCCAGAATGCAGCAGCGCAGGTAGTTACAGGGGCACCACAGTATATCCAAATAAAACTTGTGCTCCACAAGCTGCAATGGCTCTCAGGTGTAATTCAAGGCACTCATTATCACCTATGAAGTCCATCATGACGCAGGATTATAATCTGCAGGAGCACATTTCTCACCTGTCTCCAGTTGTTTCTGCCTGTCCCACATACTGCAAGAAAGTGGGCATGCTCCAGGTCCCTTTCTTGAAACAATACCATCTGACATGACCTAGGAGATGTGCCTTTTAGGTTGTGGCACCTAACCTGTGGAACAATATATCCCCGAGGTTCAACTGTCCCTGATCCTGTTAGTCTTCAGGAAGACTTTGAAGATCTGGCTGTTCCCTCAGGCATTGGGGCCAAGAGGAGACCTAGTCCTGGGAGGTGAAATACAAATTGGTACAGCCCGAACTGTATGTTTTTTTTGTTGTTGTTGATTTTTGCTGTTGTTGGGATACTGTGATTTGTTTTTATTGCTGTATACCAGTTGGAATAACATTTCTGGAAGTTGGATAGTCATATAATTAAATAAACAAATAAATAAAATCCCTGTACCTAGTCTTCCTTCTGACTCTATTTCCCAACAAAAGGAAGGATAGGGTAAAAATTCAAATATACTTTAAGTAGGATGTTTTCTGTTAATTTAATATTATTTGAATAAATAAATGCTTCTTGTACAACATTACTTACCACTTCCTCTACTAAGTCTTCTACAATAAGGCCTTGTTCATCTGTACGTAAGTTTGTAACCCACATCCATCCATCTTCTAATTCATTGTGGACAATAAACATGTCTCCTTTAAGGAAACTACAGGTAATTAAGGTAAAATTATTAATTATTCAAATCACCACTCAAGCAAGCACAGTTACACTTTTACCAACTTAACCTAATTTCTGATCTGTCTTTGCAAATTCTTATAATTTGCCCCCAAACCATAGACTACCAGTTATCCTGTAAGAAACCTTGATGATTTGTTGTAACATTATTTTATTTTAAATGTGTTTTATGTTATAGTAACTTTATTTATTTAGGTATTTATTTATTTGAAAGATTTATATTCTGAAATACAGGATATGGAGAAATGCACTGTGCAACAGCACTAATACATTATCTGCAGGTAAGCTATACCCATGGATTTAAAGAAGGCAGAGGAACACATTTCACCCTGATTATTTTATATGTTGTTCATGTTTCGTTTTTAATCTTGATCATTGATCCTAGTAATAAAAGCATGCAAAACCCATCATATCAAGCTGCAATGGACTCTTCTTCCTGGGAAAATTGTAGGGATTTTTAACAAAATGAGAGCATGGCATCTGTACTTCAAGTGCTTGATATGGTAGAAAAATGAAGTATTTACATGGTTGCCAATATTCTTAAAAACTATTCTACCTTTCAGATAGGGATGTTCTGTTTTCCCTCCAGGCCATTTCAGAGAAGGTTATGCAGTTTTTAAAAGTAAGTTCTCTAAGGCGGAAGTGGTCAACATGTCTAGAATGAGGTGTTCTCAGACAGTTGGCACTGTTTCCAGAACAACATGGTGTGGAGCAGCAATAGAATGTTACTGAGTTCTCCAGAAATCTTCTGAAATCCCCAAATTTTACACATACCTACTTTCAACATTGTTACAATTGGTAACATGCAACTCCACAATTGTTTATTAAGAAGTACATATACTTGAATTCAGTGGAACTGACTCTTGGTCATCTACATATAGAAGTGGATGGTGGTTAAAAAAGGTGTATTTTAAATAGAAACCTGGAGTATTTCTGTGTTTTTCTTAAATCTAAACTTACACTACATTAACTGCATGCACATTTCAACAAAATTGACTGACTTCACTATTAATTTAATGATCAACTCTTTTGGTAATTATTATATTCTTTATTTTTATCTCATACAAGTAGGCTTTGCATTGAAACAAAAGAACTATTAAAGCCATTATATTAAACCATTTTTTACTTAATTTAAATCAGTAAACAGAGTGTAGCATCATCTTAACTCTTACAAAAAGACTAACAAATATTAAACAAACATACATGCATTATTTATCATTCTAAATTATACCTTATTTCATCAGTTTCTGGCACTTTAGTATATGGCAGAATGGCTCGGACTCTCCTGCGGTCCTCTACTGGCTGTAAGAAAAGAAATATATTCTTCAAAACTGGTGTAAAATGCAGCAATACTGAGTCAAGACAAAATCTCCAACACATTTAGTTCCACTGCCTATTTTACAGCCAGCTTTATTTTTTCTCAATTCCTTCAGTAATAAAGCTCCAAATGGCCAGAACCTAAAATGGTTTCAAAACCAATAAAAAGATAAAGATTTTTATCCAAGTGTAGATGAAGCATCAGAAATAAATATAATTCAAGTTAACAGTAAAACAATTGAGGGGTCTTTTTTTGATTGGGACACAATCATATTTCTGAATTAAGGCTACTATAACACAAATATAAAATACTGGCATTATTTGTGTTAGAAGTTTGCATGAATTTATTTTGTACAATTTAAATAGGTCAGCACAAATAGTAGACTTACAGCCAAATTATTGTGCTTTATAAAAATAAGTAGATAGTATTACATTTAGCTATTGTCATATTTTATTATCTTTTTGTTATTGTTGTTGTTCAAAATCTATGGCTATATCTTTATTAGACCCGACCAAATTGACACTAAAGAGTTTGCAAGCTTTTGGATTCTCCAGAACATTTCATCAAGCATTATTTATAAAAACAAGGAAAAGAAAAGCAAGGAAGTCCAAAAATAGTGTTGGTTTTTTTAGCATTCGAGGTACAGATGGTTGGCTGATTGCAGAATCAATGTCAGGTGTTGTTAGTATCCGATTACACTATGTCTTTTCCCCTAAAAACTGAATGACTCTGCATTCAGTCCATATCACAACTTCTATTTTGGGACTGACTTTGATGAAGAGTTCTGGAGAACTTCAAAACTTATAATTCTTCTGTGTCAATCTAGTTAGCCCCCTTGAAGAGACTACATAGGCTTACATAGCTATGACATTTCCCCCCTCCCCTCAAAAAAAGAGCAACACAGCTGTGAATTCTGAAACAGCAATTTCCAATTATTATTTATCTTTTTGGTGCCTTTGAATCAGTGTTGACTCCTGGCAACTGTCTGGAGTAGTCCCTGTAGTTTTACTGGCAAGATTTTTGGAAGTGGCTTGGCACTGCCTTCTTCCTAGGGCTGAAAGAGAGTGACTGCCCAAGGTTACCCAGCTGGCTTTATGACTAAGAACTCCTAGTTTCCAGCTTGGTGCCTTAAACACAGTACCAAACTGGCTCACTGTTAATTGCAAATATACATAAAAAATGCACATTCTTCTATAAAAAAATACATACCTCTGGAGGTGCTACAGGAAACAATAATTTTTCCCCTTTAAGCAAACAAGATACATGGCTGTAATACCCTATTAGGTCAGAAAGTGAAGAAAATCGTCGCCCACCAATGTAATAATCGCCACACATTGCAATAATCCTATCAGAGAAAATAATAACCAATATTAGTAGAATGTCCTTTACTATTAAAAAAAGTCTGTATGTAAAAAGAAACTACAGGTAGTCCTTGCTTAGTGTACATTCATTCAGTCACCGTTCGAAGTTATGATGACGCTGAATGAGGGGGACTAATGATGGGTCCTCGTAGTTGCAGCCGTCACAGCATCCCTGCGGTTACTGCCAGCTTCTGACAAGCAAAGTCAAAGGGGAAGCTGGCAGAAGGTCACAAATGGTGATCATGTGACTGTAGGACACTGTGACCACACAGGATTCGCCTAACTACAGCAACTGGGACTGGTGGAATTGCCGTTGTAAGTTGGTGCAGTCATGTGACGTCACACCTTATGACCATGCTGCTTAGCAACAGAGTTCCCAGTCCCAATTACTATCAGTAAATGAGGACTACCTGTACTTTCTTTAAAAACATAAAGATTGCTTAGTATTTAAATATCACTGATTCTTCAAAAACTGCTAATAATCTGAATTTATTACTAGCCACTAATGCATTCACAATTCTAGGTAGTGACCTCAGAAGATGTAGAGATTTACTGTCATAAATTCAGACAAATATTTTTAATATTATACGTCCCTCACAACTTGATGTGAGTTGACAAATTTAAACCTAAGAACTCAATTCAAACAATAGAATTATCTGAAATAATCTGATATAGTTGAGGCATATAAGAACTGTACTAGATCAGTATTTTTTAGATATCCTACATCTTCCACCTACATTCTGCAGCTGCAGGATAATTTGGGTGTTTTAGGCTTCCAAATAGCCTGATTACTGGTTACCTATGGCAAATAAGAATCTTAATTATTTATTTGATTTATATCCTGCCTTTCTACTCAAGTGAGTTCTCAAGGTGACTAATAGTTTTTTTTCTTAAGGGTACTGAAGGGTAAAAAGCATAAATTAAAATTAATATTACAATTAATGAGTAATATTTTAAAGTCAACCTTATTCTTTCTTTAAGCAAATCCATGATAATTTATTTTCTAAATCCTGGAAAGACAGAACTGTTTTGAGAATTGTGTCCAGAACATAGTTCTGCATTAAACAAAGCTGCTTTTTTTAAAAAAATGACAGCTGTAGAACATGTGGCCAAACTCTCAGCAGCTGCCAGTCTTCAAGCAACAGAAGAACCCTGTCTGGTTTTTTCTAATACTTACAAATTAACCTGCTTGATTTGAAACTTGGGACTATACCAAGCATAGATGCTAGTAACTATGTGTTTTATTGTACACTTCACAAATATTTACAAAGTTCACAGCATGGCTATTAGCCAAGGCAAGTTCATGTTACCACAATATTTTACAAATGAATAGGTTTTAATGCACTCCACAATTTTATCTTCTCGACCCAGTTTGTCAATAGAAGAATTATGATGGAATGAATAAAAAATTAGGGGTTTTAAAAATAAGTATAAGGGACAGAGTAGAAGTGGCCAGTGCCCTATTAAACATAATGTTAAACATAATTGCAGCCTGCTTGAATTACTGGTGTATTTTCCAGGGCATATTCCAATACTTGCAAAGAAACACTGATCACAAAATCTTCCAGTGCTCCATATTAACTGAATATATAATTTGAGCATATTCCAGAATTCTCCATCAACTAAAGGGATTTTTCAGCAATCAGTTTTGAAAGTAACTTGTGAAAGAAGAATATCTGAAGTACATTCCACTGTCCTCCCCATCACCCAGCAACTCTCCTAACTATTCTACTGACTTCCCACAATTACTCTGCCTTCTACCTGTCTCTGTTGCTGCGATTGCTGAATATCTTTTGAAAACTCAGGTAAGGAAGAACAAATCTATCCTGCTCAAGTTACATATACACATAAATTGCTACACTTAAAAGAGCCACTTTTAAGTATTTTTGTAGGAGCAGAGTTATCAATTTTAAAAACATTAATCTTTCACTCACCTAAAGTGATTAACAACATTGGTTTTGCTCAGAAATGAAAGCACAAATGATCCAGGCCTTCGATCACTCTCTCGAATAAGGTAACTTCCAGGTTTTCCTGCCTGTCGAAGACGTTCTTCTGCAATTGTTCTGTCTAGTTTTCCATGATACCATCTGGAAAGCAAAGCATAATGACATAATATATTAACTTCAGTCCATTTGGCAAAGGATGTGGAAATCCTGGATAAAATCTCCTACATCCATGGCATACCACAGCCTAGTTTGTTTGTTTGTTTGTTTATTTATTTTCAAATTTACATATGCCACCCATTTCACTGTACAAGTGACTCTAGGCAGCATTACAAGTAAAAAACTATAAAATCTTAGAGAAAATATGCAAGTTAAAAACTACAAAAGGTTAAAATTAAAACTAAACAGTTAAAACTACAAACTAAAAAGGTGGAGAGAGTATCCTCAAACTACCAACCACCTCATATGCTGTGAACCCCCATTAAGTCCCCTTCTAGGTTGGCAGAGCCAGGTCTTGACGCCCTTTCGGAAGGCCAACAGAGTGGGGACCAATCTCACCTCAGGGGCAAGATATTCCAGAGGGCAGGAGCCATGGCAGAAAAGGCTCTCCTCCTGGATCCTGCCAGTCAGCACTCTCTAGGCGATGGGGTCTGTAACATACCCTTCCTGCCAGACCGGGTGAGACAGGTTGATGTGATGGGGACGAGATGGTTCCTCAGGTAAACTGGGCCCTTCCGTGAAGGGCTTTAAAAGTCATAACCAACACTGTGAATTGGACCTGGAAGCAAACCAGCACCCAATGCAGCTCACACAGCAGAGGTGTTACACACACAGTCCTAGAGGAGCCCATAGCTGCCCATGCTGCCACATTCTGCACCAGCTCCAACTTCCAAAAGGTACTTTTCAAGGGTAGCCCTATGGGAGATGACCAGGGCACGAGTGACTGAGAGAAGGGCCTCCCAATCCAGGAAAGGGTGCAGCTGGCGCACAACACGGAGTTCAGACTCTAACTTTTAAAAAAGACTAAGAATTTAATTAAAGTATATAGAGACGGAATTGCTATTTACTTACTGCTGGCAGTTAAAAGCATAATAGTTTTGACTGTAGTTTCTGTGAAGCTCTTTGGATATACAGTGGTACCTCTACTTACGAATTTAATCCGTTCCGTGACTCTGATCGCAAGTCGATTTGGTCGCAAGTTGAAGTAAATTTTGCCATAAGCATCAATGTAATTACCGCTAATCCGTTCCGGCGTCTGCGGACCACGCGTCAGGGGCGGAAAAATGGCCGCTGACCACACGTCAGGGGCGGAAAAATGGCTGTTGACCACGTGGAACGGGCAGAAAAATGGCCACGGACCACGTGGCACGGGCAAAAAATGGCCGGGGACCATGTGGCACGGGTGGAAAAATGGCCGGGGGCCATGTGGCATGGGCGGAAAATGGCCGCGGACCATGTGGCACGGGCGGAAAAACGGCTCGTAAGTCGAGGCGAGTTTGTAAGTAGAGGTAAATTTTTGGGACCGGAGCTGATCGTATCTCGAAATTTTCGTAAGTAGGGGCGTTCGTAAGTAGAGGTATCACTGTATCTGCAATATCCTGTCCGAAGAGTTGCACAGAAGTTACAGTTCTATAAAATATAATAGCCATTCAGTGTATGCATACAAATCATTGCTATATTTTAACTTCACTGGACTTGTAGGTAAACTACTGTATCCTTAGCTTTGGTTGACAGACAGGATTTCCATGGTAGTATAGAGAAAGTCTAAAACAAAAAGCTGCAAATAATAATAGAGCACAAATCCCAGCTAAGTGTATAGCTATTCTGGAGAAGACCCAAATGTCTACTATGAAAAATTATTTACTTACAAACTTTTTATACTCTCCCAGTCCATCAACTCGCTGTTAACAATAAAAAAATAAAATAAACAATCCATACATGAAAGTTCAACTACCTTGAACCAGCATAATATAAGTAACAAATGGCTATCCAGGCACTATCAATTTAATGTCCACTTATATATGGGAGCCTTCAGAGCTTTTCAGGATGCCAAGAGCAAAAAATGCTGACATAACTCTGGGGCCATGGTGTTCCACAGTGTCAGAATGACCACAAAGAAGGCTTGTGTATCCAACATTCCTTTCACCTTTCTTAGTGATGGGAAATTCATGTTATTTAGATGGTACAACAACATATAACTCTTTATGTAATAAAGTTTCATATACTGCATAGTTGATGGAACAGAATCCATTTCTTTTTTCACCTATCAGAGTAACAAAACAGCAAGAATTTAGGCAAAAATTTCTAATATGGGCTGATAAAGTAATTGCTATCCCTTGCTGCATCCTTGCCAAGCCCAAGAACAGCTTCCAAAACAAGTTGCTGGGAATAAATATTTCCTATGTAACAGTTCGTTAAGTATACATCAAATAAACAGTTTAACCACACAATTTCCAATCCACACAATCCAATGAGACTGATGAGATAGCAGCTGATGTCTCCTTAATCACCTGGTGAAACATGGGCTGATTTTAGCTCCTTCCCTAGTGATTTGTATTAGGAGTGAAGTACTATGCTTACAACACTGAACTAGAAATGCTCCTACAGCTTTATGTCTGAGGAAACTGAACGCATACTTTATTTTAAATTAGTAAGTTTTCCTTCTAGAAACAATCCTAGCTGTTGAAAAACACTCCTGCAAAGTACATCACTCTTGCTTGATAAGATTATATAAGAGTTTTTTAAAAATTATTTTTCTAAAAAATTTATACATATACAATTAACAGAATTATCTTTAAATTTTTTTTAAAAACCCTTAAAAATTAGAAAAGAGATAATCCCAAATAAATTAAAAATACAAACTAAAAAAAAAGAAAAAAGAAAAGAAAAAATCTACCTTATATTTTATATTTATCAATAGCCACTGGTTTACTAATATACTACTATAATATAATCTGTACAAAATATTATTGTAGAATGTCACAAAATCTCTGCCATGGTAACACATATTCCTACAAATATTGCCTTTTCTAAAACAGATCACACATTTCTGATAACCATTCCTTGACATCTGGAATAATATCATATTTCCAATTTCTCAATATTATAGTTTTAACCATCCACCATGTGTTTGTTAAATATATTATTCTCTGTTAATAATGCTAATAAGAAACACAATTTAAAACAATGTACTTAACCAACATACCAATACAGCATTAGTTCTTATTATATTTAATTTATAATCATACACACACACACACACACACACACATATTATACTCCACTCCACTCCATTCCACTCATATAATCTTGAGCTGTTGTACTAGGAGTAGGGAGACCCAAGTTCTAGTTCTCTCTTAGGCATGAAAGCCAGCTGGTGACTTTGGGCTGGTCACTCAGCCCTAGAAAGGGAAACTGAAAAATCTCTATCTACTGACATTAACTAGACCAGCTTGTAGATAACAGGCTGTTACAATCAGTGAAGAGGACTTCATCCTGCAGGGGTTTGATCTGGACTGATAATATTATAATCATATATAATAATCATATTATTATTATATTTTTATCCTTTTTTTATATATAATTCAAAGCAGCAAACATACCAATACTCCTACCTCCTATTTTTCCCACAACAACAATTCTGTGAGGTGGGCTGGGCAGAGAGAGATTGACTGTCCCAAAATCACCCAGCCAGCTTTCATTCCTAAGAGAGGCCTAGAACTCAGTCTCCTGGTTTCTAGGCCAGCGCCTTAACCACTACACCAAACTGGCTCTCTATTAGCCTACTTTTTGCTAACATTTACTAGAAAGATAGGGCAGATCACAAAAGCAAGTCATAGTTTGCAATCGTGGTACTAAACTGTTTCAGCAAATATTTATATTGTAAATAATAAAATATATGCTGACATGCTAGACTTCAAAATGGTATTTTATTTTTCTTGCAGGTTGATGCAAGTGAATGACAACATTCATAATCTAATACTGGTAAAAAAAATCTGAAAATAAGAACTGTAATTGTTTTTCCTTTTTATATTCTTATCTAAATGCATTTTATTTTAAAATGGGTATTAAAACATCAGTGGTAGTTATGTCCACATAAAAATTTATTTATTCATTTACTTGATTTATTTAGCTGCCCATCTCGCTTTTACATGACTCTATGTGGCTTAGAATAAAACAAATAAAAACATAAAATACATAATAGAAAACAAAAACAAAAACACATAGCAGCCTATCTAACCTATCATCAGCCAGGAGATGGGCTCTAACTCACACACAGGGTCCCAGGCTTGAGTACAAAGCCGTTTTCAAGGCCTTACAAAAGGCCAACAGGGACAGGGCCAATCTAATCTTAGGGGGAATTATGTTCCAAAGTGAGGGTGCCATGACAGAAAAGATCCTCCTTCTGGGCCCCACCAGTCGAACTCCCTAGCTGATGGTACCCGGAGCATGCCCTTCCTGTCAGATCACATAGGATAGGTAGGAACAATTGGGGAGAGACGGTCCCATAAGTAACTCACTCCTAAACTGTGAATGCTACAGAATACAAATTTCCTTCCTTTCAAGAATGCAATGAATTACAACATTATTTCTCTAACAGATAGTCAGACTAAAATTCCACATAAGCATACATATTTGACAGGTCTAAAATGTCTACATATAGTATGTTAATGAAAATATTTTTGTTGATTTTTTTCCAAAGTTGTACTTAACTTTTACACATAACCACATTGTCTTCACCCATTCTTCTTCCCCATCTCATCCCAATTTAAATTCTACATCAGTTTAGCCACTCATGTATCTGATGAAGCGAGCTGTAATTCAAAGAAAGCTTATGCCTTTTAATAAAATATGTTGGTCTGACACTACGATACTCCTTCTGCTTTTAGGCCATCATAGATCAACATAGACCTCCTGCTACAACATTAATATCCATTATCATACCTAACTTCATATATAAAACTGCTGTATTCAAGAATATTTAGTATGTGTTATTTTATTTAAGTTTCCCAGAATTTTAAAAGTCAAATTTAATACTGTATTACATCAAGCACTAAATCAATACAGGCATACCTCATTTTATTGTGCTTCGCAGATATTGCATTTATCAAACAGCACTGCATGCTACAGAGAAATCTTTCGTG